CCGAATCCACAGAATATCGAAATATTACATAATTCATTTTCGGCAGTTCTAGAAAGTAGAAAAACAATTTTAGGGTTCATGAACGTTCAAACTGTTCAGAATTTAAGACATCGCATCTCGCCGCATCTGAATCAGCAGCGTTTATACCTCAGTGGACCGAAACACGCAAGCAATACCCCGAATCCACAGAATATCGAAATATTACATAATTCATTTTCGGCAGTTCTAGAAAGTATAAAAACAATTTTAGGGTTCATGAATGTCCAAACTGTTCAGAATTTAATACATCGTATCTCGCCGCATCTGAATCAGCAGCGTTTATACCTCAGTGGACAGAAACACGCAAGCAATACCCCGCAAACCACAGAATATCGAAATATTGCATAATTCAGGTCGTTGGAGCTAGGTCGTTCATCATATTGATTTCTCGACCTACATAGATATAACTGGAGTATTCGGAGATATTCGTTCCGTTGAGCGTGAACAGGGCATACGAAACCAATCCGGTCCTCATAAACATCGTTTTTGTGAGATTTAGTCGAAGACCAATCTTTCCACAGGCTTTATCAAAGTCGTCAAGCATACGTTCCGCTTGGTTAATGTTTGTTGTTATAAGGACGATGTCACCAGCGAAGCGAAGATGGTGTAACTGCCGACCGTCCATTTTCATTCCCGTATTATCCCATTCCAATGTTCACATGATGTTCTGGAGGGTGGGGGTAAATAATTTTGGCGAGATGGTATCGTTTTGCCTAACTCCTCTTTTGACGTCAATGTTAATATTGTTGCACAATGGTGATACCTTAGTTGCGAATTTTTTGTAAAAATCACGAATAATCTTTATGTACTGAGTAGGAACTCTTTTACTGTCAAGGGCTACCTTGACTGCTTCTGTCTCAAATGAGTCAAAGGCCTTCTTTAAATCGATGAAAGTGAGATAGAGCGGTCTTTTGTACTCTCGAAGTGCATCAGTGAGCCATGTTACCGTGTGGATGTGGTCCATCGTTCTAAATCCTTTTTGAAACCCTGCTGGCTCACATGGCTGTCCTTCGTCCAGTGTTCTGTGAATCCTGTTTAGGATTACTCGAGTGAAAAGCTTATAGGCGCCAGACAGCAAGCAGATTGGGCGGTAGTTGCCGATGTCGTGTTGGGGTCACCCTTCTTGAACAATAGCACAGTCTTACTGGTCTTCCGCTGAGTAGGGACCTTGCATTCAGACAGATAACGTGTGAAGAGCCGGGCCAGTGTGTTTACTACTGTTGCGTCTTTCTACGCTTAATTTCTATTTTCGGGAAAAAGAGCCATATTAGAGAGCTCCATGATTACTGTTCAGCGGGAACAAATTAAATTCCATATTACGTAATATTTACACAGGCAGTGTGGATGAACTTTACCCACGATATCTTGGAATGTTTTATTTCACAAAGCATAAGGAAGCCTGCCTTTTTCGAAAACTCTCGTTCTATCCTCTGCCATCAGTGCGATCTCTACAACACATCACCACAATTGCTGAAGTACAAATTTTGCGATGCCAACAATGAAAATGACCTAATGGCAAACGGCGATCGTAAAAAAGCAGATACAAGCAATCAGCCCGTCAAAAAGCGTCATTCAAAGGAGCAATTCAGTCTTCTGAATTATCAATTTAAAGTGTTCGCCATAAATTCATTCTGAAAATACATTCTGCATGTCAAGTGAATTGTAATGAAAATTCAACTTCTATTTCTCGTTTCTCGCCCTTAGCTCCTCAAACGTTAAGTGGTAACGACTACATATTACAGAGCTTTCAATTAGTTAGTTAGTAGATATGACGGTCCAAATGCAATTTCAAGAGGCGAACAAATACGCAGGAACTACTCGACAACTAATGGCTATCTATAGTATCTGTCTTGTGATTACACTACTAAACTATTACTAGCAGTGGTGCATGGATCGCAGCTACACCACTCTTTCACCTTGGCAAACTCTCGCCTGTTATACATGGAGCTTATTCGTTAGAAGAAAACAGATAAGTCACTTCCCATGTATTTCTCAGCACCATGACAGTGTTGGCTTTTGGCCAAATCGACATGCTCGGAGTAATCTACACATATGTACATCTTTGCATGAATGCATTGATTCCCTTATGTGTCGTGGTGTCAGGCTGCGATGCTCGGCGGAACGATTTATCACCCCAGCAAAGTTTCCCATGCTGAAAAAGAATCCAGCATTTTCATCAGGAAGCCTGGCTAACAGTAAACGAATACCAGGATCCACCACCGTCCTGATATCAGACCAGTCGCATGGTGGCAAATTTTTCTCTGATCCATGGCGACTGCCTGTGGTGTTGATGACCTGGGCCAAACTTTGGCTAGGCTGTCCTCGGGATTGCAGACAGCCACAGTGGCAAAACCAACAAATCTGCGAAGAATGGAGATTATGCTGGAGACCGCACAGCAAGTGAAGACGGGCCGTCCAAGTATCGCAGTATCAAAATGTACGGGAAGTGTTATTAAGTCAGCACATCGTAGGCAATACGGAGACTCCATCAGCTCGACTGGTGCTTCATCGAGTTATCCTGCACAAATTTGAAAGGTAGTGCAGCATCTTACCATGAAAATTCCGTATTTGTCATCTCAGAGTGTTACTGGAAACTCCACGTTTTTATCTTTCCAAAGGCGTAGCTGAAGAATTCGGAGATATTCATTCTGTGGAGCGTGAATGCGACGTAAGAAATCAATCCTTTCTTCATGAGCATTGTTTTTGTGAGATTTAGTCGAAGACCAGTCTTTCCACAGCATTTGTCAAAGTAGGTAAGCATTCTTTTGGCTTGGCTAGTGTTTGGTGTTATAAGAACGATGTCATCAGCAAAACGAAGATGGTGTAATTGCCGACCATCGGTTTTCGCTCCCATATTATCCATTCATATGTTTGTATAACGCTCTGAAGAGTGGCAGCAAATAATTTTATCGACATGGTATCGCCTTACCTACCCTCTCCTTTTTTGTTAGTATCGTTATAGAGTGGTAATATCTTAATGGTGAAATTTTTACATAGTTTGCGCTGGCGCCCTGACTTTCCGTGGCTTCCATGACTGCTTCTATTTTAACTGAGTCAAATGCTTTCTTAAGTCTATTAAAGTGAGATGGAGTAGTCTTTTATACTCTTGCGTTACATCAAAGAGTTTTGTTGTCTAGCGGATATGGTCCATCGTACGGAATGCTTTTATAAACGCTGTTTGGTAACACGGCTGTATTTCTGCCAACCTTTTGTTCTTGCTGTTTAGGACAGCTCGAGTGAAAAGTTTTGAGACGACAGAAACAAGCAGATTGGGCAAGAGTTACCGATATCGTCGAGGTCACCCTTATTGAGCAATAACACTGTCTTGCATGCCTTCCACTGAAAGGGAACCCTGAATTCAGACGGAGTAACGTGTGAAGAGTCAAGCCAGTGTGTTTACAAAGAGTGGCGGAAGGTTCTTCAAATGTTGAGATCTCGTTCTGTCCGGCGCTGGTGTTGTTAGATTTTTCGCCAAAGGAATAGCTACATTATTTTGAAAGTTCGGGTGTGAATAGGCTATTGCGTGGTTCATGCGATTCTACGCCGACATGTCAGCACGAATGTTTCTGTAAAGAAGTCTCCGAGTGAAGTTCGAAATCTCAGCCTTCATTCCACTAACGTGAAGATGATAAACCGATCGTATTCCTCGTCGATATTATCAATAACAGAATCTTCCTGTGCTCCGCCTAATCGCCTAGTGAGCTGAATAAATCTTCGCTTATGGTACGTTTTGGTATTTTGAACTTATGGTCTTTCTCTTTTCTGCCACGAGAAATGGAATCTTGCGCGAAGGATGTGATGCTCTGGCCAGTTTACAATTTTAAGACACCAGTAAAAACGGTTGGAGAAAACCTTCAGCTAACCATGATGTGTTTTTTTAGTTATGGTACTCTCCACTGGGAGTCCCTAATCCCTCGTCTAACGTTTAGAGTGGGGATTCTGGAAATATGAGTTACCGTGAAAGGTCTTTGTCGTTATGGTAAATTCAGACATTTCCTCGTTCTGATCGTTTCATTCTAATCCCTGGCTTTAAAATGGCCCTATGATTTTAGCAGCCTCTGCATGCTCGTCCTACCGAACGCTATTGTATCGGGACTCTTCTGGGGTCAAATGGAATGAGGTCCATTTATTTTACTTCGTTCTTCATTATATATCTACACGCATATCTTGCTAGGCTCTGAACGTGGGGGCTGGTTATAATCCCGAGTAGCTTACTAGTTTCTCTCAGAGTAGATAAGGAGCTTGTTTATTGGAGGCTACTTCAGCCCGCATTCCATGTACTTTTCTATAAGTTGATTGCAGGATTTTGACCGAATTAACCAGTGGAATATAATCCGTATGATGGAGAACACACCTACTACATGAATGAATATGTCGTTGTAAGGACAGAAGATATGTCATAAATCGGCGTAACAGAGACAGGGAGTCCATTCTCTGGATCCACCTGCGTCTCAGGGAAGCCCAAGATCGCGTTTGATCTGCGATCAACCTCCTATCCGCCCATCTGCGCGCGCACCACGCCTAGCGGGCAAACGCCAAGAGATCCCTATGTGAGGAAGATACGAGGAGAAGTAGATTGTAATGGATGAAAATTGAGGTATATATAATAACGAGGGTGGTGCAACAATTATAGGTGCCATTCAATACACATGTGGTCGTTATTTCTGCCTAGCGGTTGTAGATTAGCGACTTTTTATCCCCTGTGTAGCAAATTGTCGCCAAGTTTACCTGGAGGGATAAAAACACAACTTGACACATCGGTAGGCAGCCGGAAATTCCGCATAGGTGAGATATGCACTCAATCGATCAGTAATGCATAATGCGGTGGAATGTATGGCGCATCCCCTATTGTCGAATGCTCTTATCTCTACCGGAGTAAGCGTGAGCATGTGCAAGGTGGGGCGGAGCTGTGCGATTGCTGTGCGATTCGAAGTGGGAATCATTCACATAAGCACAGTGAAATGATACGCCTCTTACTTATTCTTGCTTTTTGTACCATCAGTCTTTCTCATCTACGTGGACAAAAACCCAACCAGTTGACCAAAGATGTAATGTCGTAAGTAATTACTACATCTGCATGCTATAGACCTTTCGATTTCATTGCAATAATGTGGAATACTTATAAAGAAGTCCAGATTGAAATATTTTGGGGAATACCTCCCTTATTTTTCGAGTACTCGAATAATTAAATGTTCCTTCGTCTTCCAAGAAGAATTGTGTGTGCTCCAGCACAATTTCCACCGACTCGCTAATTTGCTTATCAAGCAACTTTTTCTTTATATGGTCCATAGATGGATCTCTTAAAAGTTTAACTCTTTATTGTGGGTAGAAGGGAGGCTTGTCATCTTGCAATCAGATTAGTTCCATGCTAGCCATGATTCCTGACAGTGATTTACTCTTAGCTTTGATTCCGTATGGAAATTTAAAGCGCCTTCTCACGATAAGGCGTAAATTCATTAGAGAGAGTTTGTGGAAAAGAATTTTTTCTATTGAAATAGATGTGTCAGTATTAATAAATAAGTAGCTATGGTTGTAGAATTGTGATGTTAGGGTGCCGTTGTCACGTCAACCAACACTTCGCGAACGCTTATATGAAGCTGGAAACTGGAACAGTTATGAAAGGCAAAGAGCACATTATCAGAGGAAACTGCTGGCAAAATATGCTGCAAATCAAGCTGGAAAACTACGATCAACTTCTGAGATCGATGAGTTCCTTCGGAATTACATGGATGTGAGTAATTTTTCTAGAAATTCCACCTATTTTTTATCGAATGCTCACCACGGTGTCTCGATTTGTATGTATATATAGGCGCAGTACTTCGGCACTATACAGATAGGAACTCCACCGCAGAATTTCACCGTCATATTCGATACAGGCTCATCAAATTTGTGGGTACCATCGAAAAAATGCCCTTTTTATGACATCGCATGTAGTAAGTTTCACTTTATATTACTTTTACATACGAAAAACTAGACAGATAGAGTTGCCTAAAATAGAGCACTGCTGCGCACATTCCTTCTTAAGAATTTATCGCTTAGGCAAATATCACTAGGTCCTATCAAAAAATGATAACGCGATACTGTAGGAAAATATACCATTGCTTGGTCAGTCAATTTGTTATCTCTGATTGAAAGCAAAACTGATATTAAAGCTATTTCAGCAAAACTGGAGTGTAAATGAATGAAGAGAATAAATAAGCTTTATGTAATCGCGCTTATGAATAACCTTGGGTCTATAGTTGTGTTTCAAACCAACGTAGGCCGTGTTATGAAATATACTGGATATATCAAAGGACGTTATTTAATTGTGATTTGGTAATTTCTATAAGGATCACAACGTATACCTTACATATGATTGTGCAATGCAAAAGTTTTCCATTTCAAACGTAACGTAAAATCCTCGAGCGCGTGTGGTACAGTGGTTATGGGTGCTGGGAACACAAACACGGAAGTTAGTCCGGTCTCACAACCGGGAAGCCATGCCAGTTTCGCGAAAGAGTCGAATTCATGGAACATCTCTAGGAGATTCATGAAATCCGATGACTCCAAACGTTCATGTTGTGTTTTGTGCTCGTGGTGTAATGTTAAATCAAACTTTTCAGTGTTACATCATCGATATAACTCTGCTGCCTCATCTACTTATGTGGCAGATGGACGTAAGATGGGAATTCAATACGGAACTGGTTCTATGAAAGGGTTTATTTCTAAAGACGACGTCTGTGTTAGTAAAAATGCTCATTGTTAGGTTAGAGATTCTTTATATACGCTGAAAATTAAATGTTTTTGTAGATAGCTACAGTTTGTGCAGATGGCCAAGCATTCGCTGAGGCAACAAGTGAACCTGGCATTGCTTTCGTTGTTGCGAAATTTGACGGCATCTTAGGCATGGGTTTTCAGGAAATTTCTGTTCTTGGTGAGCTATAAGAAGGTTATTAGCCAAATTCGCTCTGGTTTATAAAACGCTTAAATGATGGTGGTATAGTAAATCCCAAAGTGTTTGCACAGCGTAGTATCCCGCTTAATTCATTAAAAATATTTTGCCTATCAATTTATACTAACTAAACGTCTGTGATCAAAATTTGGCACTTAAAAAGAGAATTTCGCGATTGTCCACACAGTTTTTTTTCTTTAGGGATTACTCCTGTTTTCCAGACATTCATTGACCAGAAGAAAGTTCCAAGTCCAATGTTCGCTTTTTGGCTTAACAGGTATGAGGTAGAAAGTCGAAACTTAACGTAATACAGGAGAATCGCGTATAATATCGAAAACGAAGAAACTTATTTGGTACCTTCTCCATTAAAATAAAAAACCTATCAATAAACCGCTTAAATGTTAAGAAATCCCTACTCGAAGCTCGGAGGTGAAATTACCCTAGGTGGAATGGATTCACGACGATACGTCGAACCAATCATTTGGACTGATGTTACTCGTCGTGGATATTGGCAGTTCAAAATGGACAAGGTAATTGTTACAGGTGTACCGCTGACATCTGCAGCGATCACTGATTGCTTCAGATTAAAGGCGGCTCGTCAATAGTAGCGTGTCCTAACGGATGTCAAGCCATTGCTGACACAGGTACTTCTCTTATCGCTGGGCCGAAAGTGCAGGTTGAGGCGATTCAGAAATATATAGGAGCTGAACCATTGTTGAGAGGAGAAGTAAGTAATTCTTGCTTAGAAACCATGATTTAAAAGGAACTGGCGAGCATTATAGAAGAACTCATCCACTACTAGCGATTGCCAATTCAAGCTCAAAAAATATTATTAAATTTTACAGTACATGATCCCTTGTGATAAAGTGCCGAGCCTTCCTGATATCTCATTCGTGATAGAAAGCAACGAATTCGTGCTCAAAGGAGTGGACTACGTTTTAAATGTGAGCAGAGCAGCATAGTGTAACCTTACGTTCTGAAAAAAAAATAAAAGTAGCAAAATTTACGAAGTATTTTGCATTCCTTAGGTTTTGTTTTGTGGTGAATTAGCTGGTATGCTAATAATTGCTTCTTGTTTGCCTTTTTTGGTACTAAACAACTACAGGTTACGACAGCCGGAAGGTCAATCTGCCTTTCTGGATTTATGGGGATTGATCTTCCAGAAAAGATTGGTGAATTATGGATACTTGGCGATGTGTTCATTGGGAGGTTTGCCTGTTCTTCAATTTGCTTATCATTTTTATTAGATGCTACTCAGTCCTCAATGTCAGGAGAGTTTTCCTCATCTAAAATGAGGACGATATTTAAAGATAAGCGGCATGTTCAAATGGCTGCTTGTCATTTCTAGATACTACACTGTTTTTGATGTTGGGCAGACACGTCTTGGGTTTGCGCAAGCGAAGGATGAACACGGACGCGCAGTGCCTCCTGCAGTGCAAAAATTCCAAACGATTGAGGTCAGTGTAATTTATAGACGTTGAAAGGAGTTAATGTTCTTAAAATCTTTTTTCAACATGACAATTCACGAAATGAATTTTAACTGTAAAACCAAATCCATTCAAGTTAGAACATTTTCAGATAATGTATAAAATTTAAAGTGTGGTAACGCCTTTATAGAAACCTGTTAAAGCACTGAATTGGTATTGGATACTTGTTTTTGTTGTATTCGTGATGTACTTTACTTGGATATTTAGGCAGCATGTTTTCACGCGTAACGAGGATCACAGTATATTTTCTGTACGTTTCTTTCTCGCGTAATCGTCGTCCATGCCCGTAGTTTGATCAGAGCATGGTGTCATCCGCGAGTTTCTGTGAAACATTTGCGAAATATTTGCAGCTGCAGGTGCAAATGATTCATTTTGTTCTAAACACGTCCTGTCATGCTCTAGGTGATCTTCCCCAGGGACGCTTGCGTCATCGTGGTTCGTCCATCCGTGGTTTGTTCTTCACATTATTTCCAGCTCATGTGTTTTGTTATCGACACTGATGTGTATTCTCCTGGATCTCTCTCGAAGACGAAATAGATTTCGGAGATCAGTGCTTCGCATTCCGGTTAAATATCGTTTGCGCTGGCCTTGTTTTTGAAGGGAATCTTCAAGCGGATTGCGCGCTGTTCTTCACATTGTTGAACTCTCAAGCCACGTCTCTTCTGCGTAACAGAGAGCTGGGAGTTGGATCGAGAAAGTGAGCGCGGCTTTTGGGTCAGTTAGTTTGCCGTGGCTTCTATGATTGATCCGAGTGCAGCATATGCTGCTCTGTTTTTTTTGCCCATTACCTCCTTCATATTTTTCTCCACGTTCAATGAATGTCCAAGGTAACATGTACGAGGTGATCTCTGTAACCAGAAAACCGTCACATTCAATTTGTTTCACTATGAGTTCTTCATTAACTGGATATTCGTCCTATTTGTTCGCAGTTCAACTTTCTTTCCTGCCTCGTTGAGCTAAATCAACATCGTCACTGCTTCATTGGTGCTTCTTAAAAAGATGTTGTTGGCGAAACGAAGATTTGATAGCAATTTTCCATCAATGAGTGCCCCTCACGTGCCGATCGAGTAGCTTCGTTATCAGTTGTAAAACGGAAGGAAATTGCTCTGGCAAGGCTGTGTCACCTTGTCAAACTCTTTTTCTTGTGATTATGGTAAGGGATATGTAGAAGAGCCGTACTTCGATTTGCAGCTGTGATAATAGTCGGCTAGTGCTCGTGTATAGGACGGGTCAACTCCTTGACTGATAAGCGCCGATAGTACTTTATTCGTTTCGACGCTGTGTAACGTCTTGTTGTAGTCGATAGAGGTTAGGACAAGAAATAGACAGTGCTACTCACAGAATTCTATTAGCCGTAACACCGTTTGGATGTGGTCTATGTGGCAGAATCACTGTTAATATCCTCTACTCTCATCATCCATAAGGGCCTCCAAAATTTCGCATGTTGTTCAGGCTGCTACTTAACGGTCTCGTCGTTTTTATAAAAGTCGTAGAACGCTGATCAGGCTGATTCAATCTTTGGGAAAGCCATACTGAGGCCTTCTCACTTACGCAAATGGGATAAGAGCGCTGTGGATGATGTCGAACCAAAGTCTTGCTTCCTGATTGACTGAACCACTAACTGAACCCCAGCGCTTGGTGAATAGCTTATAGACTACACTCAACAATCATTTCAGGTGTTAGCTATAAAGATTCCTTCGCTCACATCTCTCGGAGAAGATGAATGTGCGTGTTTTTTATTGCTCTACGCACTTTTCCTTTTAAGGTAAGGTATTATGTGCTTTGCAAGAAGAACATTGTCGTCCATAGCTTCCAACTAGGGAGAAGACGTTGGTAATGTTATCAAATCTCGTATTTGTGCCTTACTTCATGCTTTCTATTGCAACTCCAACACCAGAAGAAGGTATCCTAGGTAGTTTTTCCCTAGCAGAGATTTTACCACTCGGGACGAGGGTTGTGGAAGGGAAAAGGTTGTGTTGTCTGTGTTGTCTGTTATCAATCCCACATCACGGAGAAAATTTGGAGTGATCGCATCTTCGTTCATTAGAGCTGACAGCCGAGCGTTATACTCGCATAGGTCCGGACGGAATTTCTTCAGTCTGGTTCTGTTTTGTCCTACTTTTAACAGTTTCTTCTGGTTGCACAGATCTAGTTCCTCTTGCAAGATCTTCTCAAGCTGGTATTTATTGTGAAACGTGTTAAATGTGTTCCAGTAGAGCTAAGTTTCACTCTTGATGTCTTCATGAGCAACTCTTTCGTGGCAACAGAGATGGCGATCAAAACCTATTGCTTGAGGAACCGATGCTAATTTTGCACTAGTTTTCAGTTAGTCTGCAATAAACTTGTAGTGTTTACCTGGAGCCTTTCTTAATCGGCCAATTACGTTTGGATAAGATTTTTTTAAGAATGCTCCAATCACATATGGTTTGTATTTTTCTTCTTGGATTCTTTTCTATTTTATGGCTGAATCAAATCTTTACGCGAAGAAGACGATGATCGGTCCTAGTACATAATGATGGGACCGCGGATATGTCAGGGAAGCACCATCGTCTCTTTGTAGGGATATGGTCGATCTCCACATGTTTCGTACCGTATGGTGACTTCCATTTTCCAGCTGCATCTCAATTTCTTTCGGAAAAATGAATTTTCGTGGAAGAGGCATCTATAGGCAAAAGTTCCACAAGACAGTTTCTGTTTTTTTCCTTCTAATCCGAAATTTTCCAATCGTCCACTTACTCCTATTGGCCCTTTCCTTTCTTGAGTTGAATTCTCTGACAACGAATTTGTAATACGATTTATCACTGTGGATAACCTTCTTCAACTGATAATACAAAGCATCTAATTCGTACTCATCAGCTGCATCAGTCGGTGAGTAGTAGGTGATGATAGTGATCTGCTTATGATGCTTTGGTTGAATACGGAGGATGGGTAAGCGAGAGGAATGTATCTCGTATGAATCGACAAGATGGGTAATGAATGGATGGACGACAAATTTTGCGCCATAAACAGTTCGTGACAGGAACTTTTTAAACTTATGACAAGAGCGCTGTTGTTTAGCCGGCGTATGCCGGTCTTGCTTTCTTTCTTGTAAGGCGACCGCACAGAATTATGCGACCTGCGGCTTCAAGAAGGGGTTGATTACTGGCACCTGACGAATGTTTCGGTACTACAGGTACACAGTAAGAAACGGTCTTTATGACATGTCCTATGTGTGCTTGTCAGATCCGGTTCCATTAACGCAACATGAGATTTTATGACCTTTCACAGGTCCTCTTACGTTCTGGCGTTATAGGAGGAAGCATCCAGAAGCAATATACGGGATACTGAGGCTGGGATATTCCTGGTAAGGTACACTATTCTTTCCTGGTCTCCTGAATTAATCTAGATGCGGTATTTTTATGTCTTCACCACTATATAGATCCGAGGAATGTATCCAGCGATTTATTTTGATCGGTCCTTCTTGTTGATTAGAGCAGGTGATTTAAACCGAATTCGAAAATGAAAATGGGAGTGAAAAATTGACCGAGCGCCCAAGGATGGTGTAGAAACCGATCCCTCCTTGGTGTATTTGTGTTCACATATACTGATTTAACAGGCACTTACAGGTTTCAGAAAGAGTGAGATAAGAAATCAAAAGTGTGGACATGAATCAGCGATCGAGAATAGGAGACATCATCACACAGATCACAGTGTCGAAAATCAGGTCGACCGCGCCGACATGTGATGCCTCTTATCGGTAAACGGTAAACAAAAGCCACTAGAGCCATCAGTGACTGGAACTCACAGGATGTAAATTGCCTAGTAAGAAGAACATTAACCGGATAGTTAGAATTCTTCAAAAAGAAAAATGGTACTCAGCCTCAGGGAGTTCCTAGAGCGAACAGAATCCACTGGATCACTTTGTATGCAGCTGGGGACAAATGGAGACTTCACTGGCGACCGCTCGTGTTAGGCACCGATCAGTAGGAAGACAGGTGACGCAGATGATTTACTGGTGTACAGCGGTGGATTTAACTCACATGAGGCATGTCGAGTCAGCAAACCGGCAATACGCCGCATCCTCACTTGAAAAGCAAGAGATTGAATACAGATATAATACAATATAGCATGTAAATTCCTTTCTTTTTTTTGTTTGATCCGTCTTCACGTCTACTGTGAGGTTCCCAGCACTTTTCATATTCAATTGGTTTTCTCGCATATATCGTCCAAGAGGGTCTTCCAAGTTTCTACGTGCGGCTTCTGTCGCGGCTTGAGGATTTTCATTCCATCTTGAATGTCTTACAATGCTGGTCGAGCATTTTCCCCTGGAGTCCTGAGATAGCCGAGCTGGAGCGTTCCCCATTCGGTTGCAGAGCGTAATTTTTTTTCTAAATAAGACCGGCAGCAATCTACCGACCTCGGAGGGATGGCTTGGTAGGCCTGGAGCGGAATCGAACTAGCACCATGCTAGTAATGACAGATATCACTACCACTGTGCTATCCACTCCTAGCATACAAATATGTACAATAATATATATCTGTCATATCATTAGCGAACTACGCTCAAGTCGAGATATGTAAATTTAGAGGGATCCAGAGGATGGGGCTGTACATGCATTACAAATATATCAAACACTAACTTGTTCGAAAACTCTTCGATACATCGAAAAACTCTTTTAACAAGACCACGTTTAGTAACTGTCGGTAATATAATCACTTCAATGCCACATTTTTTTCTTTAGTTTTGCAAACATCCAGCTATTAGAATCCGAACTACGTCCATAAAAATGAAGCATTCCAAAAAGTTGTAACTTTCAGTTTCCTGACAAGAAGAGAGATGAGGAGGACGCTTTCAACTGAAAGATGTCAACTACTCACTAAAACCTCCTATCTACATCTTTCTTTCTCATACAAATGAAGTTTCAGTCAATTTTATTCGATGTATCATCGTAAAAATTGTCGCGCTGGTGCTTGAATCGGACTGCTAGTTGAGCGCAAAGGCTACCTAAATTTATTGGTGTGTTGACAGAACACTAATACCTCAAGCTAACATCGTTCATTTCCAAAACAGTTTGGAAATATATTCCATGTTATATGGCGCTTGTATAGAGCATTCATTAGGTGTTTCGTGCGATACACATCTGTTGATTTTATGCCACCCCCGGGAAAAGCAAACCACAATGCTCAATGAAGTAAAATTTAGGTCCAGTTTTTCAGAGACTATTGAACGCTTGACGCTCGTTTTTAATTATCGTTGTAAAGCTTTTTATTCATTATGTTCGAAAACTCCTATTCCTATTTTTGCCAAATTTTACGCTAACTAATTTATAGAGGGCCAAAATCGTTCTGAACGCGCTTACCGTCTGGTGTGTCGTTGATAACAATGCTCTACACAAATATCCCAGATAAATCGCCCAGACAAAACATTTGCAATCTTCTTCAAAAACATCAGCAGTTTAACAGTATATTATTATTGGCTCAGTAGTTACAGATATTAGAGTTACTGACAAAGAGCTATTGGCTTAGTAGACACATTGCTTCAACTCATTAGAGATATTGCAGAGTGGGTGTTCTTTTCTTGAACACTTAGACCCATTGGGGAACTTTGCATCGACGGCAGTGCAACAGGAAAATCTATGTTATGTGATCACACAACACGTACTTTAGATAATAAGTTAATGTAAAAACAAGCGACTTAATTTTTTAAAGTTTACAATTGTTGTGTGAGAAGGGAGGTCTACATAATTCTATTCATCTTCCTCCAACAAGATTTAGTATAACAATTGTTAATCTCACGAATATAATAGTAGGGGAGCAGTTATTCCACAGTACATTTGGGGCAGATTCGGAAGGCTGTTGAAAACGAAGTGTATGAACATCAAAACAATCATGAAAACTAACTTTTTTAGAGATTATACTTAAATGTAGAAGCAATTCTGGTTATATGAGTGTACTATCGAATGGGTATACCATGGATGCCAGTAGTTAAAGCCGACCATGCTGTTGGGTAATTTTTCGCACGACAATTACTTGAGCATTGACATTTTCGTACAATTGTTACCATGGTGGTCTTCCTGTAAAAGGTGTTTTGAATGAATTTCCATAATGCACTTGCTGACTGCCTTTCAAATTTCATAACAGGTTCAATGCAAAAATAATTCCGGCTTGAGAGCGTGGATTTTAAGCCATTAGTACTTTCCTTTTTGCAATAAGAATCAAATATATCTGAGTTGGTAATAACTATGGCTCAATTTCTCGTCGCTTGCGTAAGCATTTTTAGCGGGACTTTGGTTGCTGATGATTGTCTAACCTAATAGTTGTCCAGATATTTCAAACAGATTGTAGTTGGTTAGCTGAAGGTTCTCTGGACGCCATTTTCTTTACTGTGCAATTCGTTCACTTCTGTAGCGTTAGTTGTACGGCGCATAGCCTAACGTGGTTGCGAAGGAGAAAAGACGTTCTATACTTCCTCATTGGAAATCACGTAAAAAGCGGCTCTGAAGAAGGCGATACTGCCGAAACGTCAGCTAGTGTTGCAGTGAATTGTGTTTTTCTATGGAAGTAAATGTATGCTGTTTAACAATCTCGCGATTGCTGAACACGAAAACGACACATTCTTTGAAGAGAGTTGAGCAGCTTAACGAAATGTGTTAGTTAGTCAGCTAGTCAGTTAAAGCAAGGTGGTCTAGTGAAATCCTCTCTAGATATCGGCTTGTGCACCACGGGCCACTGACGTGTCGGTTTAGTCGTAAAAAAGCGATTAAACTACATGTTGTGCTGCTGGAAAACATGCTGGTTTTCCTTACAAAACACGGCAATGACAAGTTGCAGTTAAAGGTATTACTGTAAATATTGACGATTTGTCGTAGTATATTAAGAGTAGTGTAGAAAAGGATCCGCTATATTTTTCATAGGCTTTAGAAACTTCAAAAAAGACGAAACGGTTTCCGATTATGCCGTTGTCTTCTGTAATGGTCAAGGAGAATGCGGATGATAAGTGCGCCCTCTTTCTTATCTTTTTATGATGAGAGTGGTTGAGTAGCTTCATCTCTTCTTCCAACCATTACGGTTAACGTCGTCGCTTGTTAGATTAAATTTTCTTCCCAGAACAGAATTCGTTTGAGAAATCATCTGCTTTTTTATGCAAAATAAGCGCAGAATATTCTTTATAATGGCGATCTCTAAATGGATTAGAAGAAGTCGTAGGTTGGAGGGCTTTGGATTTTTGTTCCACAAGAGTGAATAAACCCTTGTCTCTTTATCAAAAAATATGTGAAATCTAAAGATTGTTATTTATCTTCATCCATGACGCCATTTTTGAGCCTACCTATAATGACTTAAAATCCAAGGGTCATAGCCGTAACTACTTTTACACTGACCTAATAAATAATCGTTCCCCAGTGAGTTATTGATTTGTTGAAAAAAAAAGGCAATAAAGAAAAAGGGAAAAGAAGAAAAGAAATCTACGTTTCTCCGTCACGGCACATCATTTTCAGTGGTCTTCGCTTTGTTTTCACAGCATCACAACAATTCTAAACATAATAATAGTGGCAAAAAGCTTAGAAAAGAGAGCTATTCAGTGTTGAGAGCACGTGAAGATACCTTTCCTTCCCCACAATAGCCAACACATTCGCCAATTCTGATCATTTCTATTGATCGACAATCACCGTCAACATGGTGTCGCCGATGCTTCTCCTTATTACAGGTAATCGCCCCTGAAATAGACTAATGTGTAAAAAGTTATGAAATGGACTTTTCATAAATCTTGGAGCGGAGAAATAGGTATAAGGGTAAAGCTCTCAGCGTTAATACATCCTTGATGCATCGTGCATTCGATTTCATTATTCATGAAGGGTAACGAATGCATATTTAGCACATACATTAAATTGCCGAAGCATACCGATGTATCAAGTCAATGCTCTTATCTCTTCACATCAGTATAAATGCGGACATTTCTACGACTTTTGAGGAACTCGTGCTAAGTTGGTGGGGAGCGCGGGGTTGAACAAAAGGTCAAATTTGTAGTGCATAGGACCTTTAACCATCATGCTACGCATCTATTTAAACCCCAAGGATATAGAGCCTAAATAGCTAATAATACTATAGAAACGCTCGACAATACTCGAAGCAAGTCGGTTTGTCTGTTTTGATTTCTTCGAAGTGTTTTCCAGAAATTTTTTTGGAAGTGAACGTAAGGAAAGGTGAACTTGATTTTTCAGTCGTTCTTCGAATATTGTCTATAGAGGGTGTTCTGTGCTCTGCAATGAATAGCATCTATTTTACCATTAATATCGCATAGGAAATTCCTCGACACAAAGCCCGGATGCTTGCCTTGTCTCTGTACCTCTCTATATCCCAAGCAGGTCAGCATCGTGTGGTGGCTCGATTCGACCGTCACGCCCCGTTTAAGCATGGATAGCATCACGCCATTCACTAGGATACTGATCACAGTGTTTACATCGCCTTATCTGCACAAGCTACTATATCACTTTTTAATGAACTTTTTATATAATCAACATCATTAGCTAACTTTCTTATCTGAAGCGTCCAGCTGCGTGTAGTTCCTGAGAAACTTATAAGCTACATCAAATACCGCCTACCACATTATGCATTCAGGCGGCCTTAGAGTAACCATTCTACTCGCTTCGTTAGCATCTTTGCAGCTATCACATTCGTCTTACCGCCTTTTTTAATTTAGTAAATCCCACTTATTAAACCCTATTTTCACACAATCACTTTTGTATCTTAAGCTATAACGTTCCTAATAAACACCAATAAGTTAAAGTTACTATAACTTCACAAGTGTCTTCCAATATAGTAAAATCATCGTATTATTACGATAGGCTAGCGTTATTATTCCCCACATGCGCCTTCTAACATGTTAATTTCATTTCATTGTTATCATAACATCACATGTAACTTCTAATATGTCAACTTCCTACACCATTACTGTTGCATTTTATTTAACACTTGCGCATAATATTAAGTGCCATCCTATGACAAAGTTACTTTTTCACTTTTAAACATCCTCTTATATCCACAACGATGATAAGATATTTGGAAAACTCTGCACTGCAGGTGTCTGCGGAGGGGAACCAAAACGCTGTTACACTTTTCGGGGTGTTAAGCATTCACCACCAGATACCCCGCTTCGCTTTTTCAGATACATATTGTTTTAGTCTCTTATTGACCCGATTACCAAATTTTTACCTATACTTTTTCGGTATTAACATATTGTTGCTAACATTTGTGAGATGCCAGCTAGTTCGTAGCCGTTTGTGTGACTGTCTATGCCAAACGCACAGATATTTCACGAGTTCGGGTACAGTGTTCCTAATCTTTTGTAAGGCATGAGGGGACGAATACGTTGGCGAAACGGGTAGACCTCTCTGCAACCGTATAAAAGAGCACCCAAACGACAAATCTGAAGCTGAACAGAATTTTCGACCAGGGTGCGTATAGGGTACAGTCATAAAGCTCGTTCTAAAAAACTCTTGGGGTTGACCAATGCCTGAGGGATGTGCCATGCATTCGACTTCCTTAGGCATCGTTGGAAGTGACTGAATGCATAGCTGGCCTTTACAATGACTCGCGGCGGACTAACGATTTATTGAGCCAGTGCTGAAAAGTCTAGTACCAATTTGCAGACCCCGTAGAGATGGAAGGCTTGGTGGGCCACTGACGCAGAGATTGATCCCTTGTGTGCGCGTCTCAGGGCGCCTCCGACCACAACGCCACACGCGCCACAATACGCATATAGCTCCATGGATAACTCTTTCAAAAATTGACAGTTAAATCTATAAATATTTATGCAGTACAATTATTAGAACATATATTCTAGGCTAAATTTTGCGTGATGGCTAGGTTGGATAACGCGTAATTTTTGGTCGCTCGCAGACCATCTGAACTGAATTGATGAAGTCAAGTCGATGTACGGTTATTTGTTGCGACAACTTAAAACAACTTCAGCGAAGACTTTTTACTTTACTTAATCGTTATATGGCCGTTTTCATTTATTTTATGAATTCCATCAGTGCGTGGTTCGTTGTCTCGCTCTCACCATCCAAGAACGTTTTCAGATTTGCACGCGTAGTTACGGACACAGCTTGAGAAATTTGACGTGTTCATGAATTCCGCTGAATGATGGACGAGGAGCATTTTCCATCTAATCTCGGAAAAAATGTGCCAGAGCGTTTCAAGACAAGTGCGGTCCCAATCTACCACCAGGGGCAGGATAGGGGATTTTCTTTTCAATCAGTTGAACCAAAGAGCATGTATATGTTTCAGTGCACCGTTAAAGAGTGTGCTATACATTCCGTTAAGTGAAGGATTCAGCAAAATAATTTGCTTTTTTTGATATTGTATAAACTTTTATCTGTCTGTAAGACGATCAAACTGTATAAGAAAGTGAGCATTCTTTTAGTTAAATACTTTAATTGGCTTCTGTTAGTAGATCCGAAATAATAGAGCACGAAAAATGACAGCGCGGTACACTGTGGTTGCAAAATCGTCTTGTAAAAGAAAAACCATAAAGGGTTGGACAGAGATCTTACGCTGTTGGCAAAATTTTCCGGAGTAGTCTTGTTCACAATAGCAGTGAAATCCTCGACTGGATGTCCTGTTGACCTGACAGCTGCCTCTGCCGCAGTCCACACCTCAAATTATTTGAACTGTGCCTGTGTAAAAAAGTACAGGAAATTTCTAATTTGAAATCGGAGTGTGCATCGAAGAAAGCTCTCACAGAGGATAATCGTTGACTTTTGCAACAAAGTTGTTATTAGTATTTTTAACACATTTTTTAGATACTGATAAGGGGAGTTGAGTTGTTACATAATCTTGCACAATGTCCCTTTTGAAATGAACATAAGGGATAAATAATAAATTATTCAGTGTAATGAACTAATTTTAGAGTGCCGATAAAATGCATTCGAGATGCCTTTTTGGCCTTCACGACGACTTTTGTGCTTTCCGTTATATCGATTCTGTGTTTCAAACTCTGATATAGGTCCGATAACAATTTGCCGACGAAACAAGAGTGATGGACGCATGGTTAGCTCAGAGTATTCCGTGCAATTTCGGCACACTGACAAATCCTGATACCGCAAAGTTTTGCTTTTTCAGCTGAAAATCAAATAGTTCTCCAAAGAAGTAATTGCCATTGTTTCACTGAGAGCGATTTCCTGAAGGAGAGCATGCTCTGGAAGTAGGAGTCTGACACTCTGTGTAGAGTAGAGAAAAGAAGCAGAAAGGCCTTAGAGCCTTTAAGCCCAGAAAAGCCCAGAAAAGCCTTTAAAGCAACTAATATTTTCGAAAACTTTCTTTGAAACGGAGGAAAAAGTTGGCTTCAATTGCTGGTGGGACAATAAAGGCATACTATCTCATAAGCTCTTTTCCAATGACACCATGGTGGAATAGTGACAGCTGCAAAAGCTAACTAGCATAATTGTTTATAAAAGTTTGAAGTTAGGTTTCTTGACGATGTACTCCTGAAACACATTACTGAAATGCCTTATTAAACGTAGTGGATATTCACCGTCTACAATAACACATCAGTCTACCATCCTCTATCCAACATTATGTGCTGTCCAAGAAGGAAATGCTTCGATGATAGGTAACAATTCGAACATAGTTGTTTGGGTGGTGTGCACATATTGACTGCAATAACATATCCAATTGAAGGGTTTCGTCAATCACAGAAGCACTCGTGGTTCAACGACAACTTTTAATCAAGAAATGATGACCTTGTAAATACACGGTGTGTAAACTCAACAGTTCCGCTAATGTAAAAGAACTGGAGACATTTGTTGCATGATATCTTCGTTTAAGGTATCAAGGAGATTGTTTCCTATATTTTATGGGCGTATTTCGATTGAGAAGGATAACCGAAATAAGAAGCATTTGTTACTAATTGTAAGAATTTAAATATATTGTGATTCAGGGTAATCTCTGGTGTTCGTACCGGCACAAAGATCGACGACATTTGCACATCCCGATAGAATTTGTTGTTTTTCTATAGCTTGTTCAAAATCCACTGGCATATTGTTGACGAAAAGATCACTTATGCATCCTGAAAATATCCGTATACTCCGAGAATTACTTTCTTTTAACCTCGGCATTGACCAATAATTCACTGTTTTTCTTCACGAACAAAACGTGTTCGTTATTACTGCATTGATGAATACGCAATAGACAACATTTCGGCTGTTTCGCCTCCTTTAAAGCCTAGAAAGGTGAAATTGACATGCAATCTACTCAGTCAAACACTTTTATAACCTCTGTAGATAGACCTTAGTGCATAAATTTTCATTCGCTTATTGAACAGCTTCTTTTAAACACCCGCCGTTCTTTTCTTCCTCGGACATCTAATTATTTGTTGGAGACCAACCACACATGGGTGAGAAATGCGCCTGGTGAAGGACAAACAATGAACCAGATGTATGGTGCGAATACACGTGTGATCACAAGACACTGGCCCTCGTAGTTAGTTTCCGGACTTTTGGAACTTATCCAAAATGCTTCATGAACTTCACGCTCCATTGTTTCGAATTCTTCTTGAGAGGAGAGTGACTTTCACTTCAAAATGTTCTCTGTTATGCCTCTGTGTCTTACGCGCGTCTGGTTGAGTTAATTAACGTTAGTTAACGTAATGAAGCTTGGACCAGTTCTATTAATCAGCGCACGCCGTCAGCAAGAGTCGAAATTCGCAACTACTATCACAAGAAAAAGCTTCGCTTTAACCTCACAGCATCGCAGAAATGTGGTTGGATCGGCAACTAATAAAGTCAAAAAGCATCATAATATCAGTGCTAACCTTTTATTTTTTGCCTATAATAATTTTTCACGGCATGGCATGATGTGAATTACAACCACAGCGATGCTGAGATATACACAAAACATAGACCCCGACCCAGATCGAACCACCATTTCTCCTCCCGAGGCTAGCGCATTACAAAATACACCACGAGGGCACTTTCTGCGCTCCTTTCTGATCCGGTGTCCAGGTTTTGCTAATACCTCAGCATCGTTGTGAGGTTATAATTTACATCATAACCACCCGTGAAGAATTATAGTAGGCAGAAAATTAAGGTTTGGTTTCTACTACAGGCCGAGCTTAACTGAGTTGAATGCCGATTGGTGTTCGTCAGATCAATCACGCTGACGGGTGATTGCTGATGGCAGCGTTAGGTAAAGAGCTAGCTAAGTGAAACGCAGAGCAAGGGCCTCCGTAGTGCAGTGTGTAATATGCGAATTCCGGAAAAGGAAAGTGTGGTTCGATCTGGCTCTGGGTCCAAGTTTTGCGAATATCTCAGCATCGTTGTGGTTGTCATACTATCAGTTAGTTATGAGGGTGGAGAATTTGCAGTGATTCCTTGTCAGTTAAATGTTGACATAATGGAAAAGTGTGTTAAAGACACTAAGTTTTATCGCCCATCGTCTGAAAAGGAGCTCCAAAGTTAACACCAAAAATTGAACACGGAATGGGTCAAGGTGGCATGCGCAACAGGTGTAAAGCCATCATTTATTTCGCAACTTAAGATTGATTTGCCAATATAACCCATCCCATGCCTAATAAAATAAAAGGATAAAGCTCTCGGTGTTGATCGGTCCTTGAGGAATGCGCCATGCATTCAACTTCATTAGGCATCGTTTGGAGACGATTTAATGCATATCTGGCCTTTACAATGACTCGCGATGGACTACCGATGTGTTGAGCCAGTGCTGCTATCCTCCCAGACAAGTCTGGTACCAATTTTCCGATCTTGGAGGGTTGGAAAGCTTGGTGGGGCACGGGCTCGGGAATCGATTCCAGGTGTGCGTTGCAGGGCACCTCCCACCACTGCGCCACACGCGCCCTTTCTCGTCTAATGCTTCATACTCAAGAACAATCGTAAGTTAGTATGCACTGATGATCCTGCGTTTATCGATCCCTTAACCTTCAAGATTGAACCCATCATCTGTTGCGTATACAGGACCATGGAGAGAATAGCTTCGATTATAAGCCTAATTCTTACTTAGCTGTGGAAGCACATTCTAGTCTATCCTACAAACATCCAAACATTTCTGGATCGTGTACGTGGCAGGGGTTCCAACAGCGCGAACGTGTTGGGGTTCTTTGATGATACCGCCCTTTGTGCAAATGGGTCGATTGACTCCACCGGCGATGCATGCCATCTGTGGGCTCTTTCTCGAATACGAATGAGCAAGAAATATGCATGGTTTTCGATTCATCAGCTCATGGTTTTCTTAAGGGAGTGTCTGACTGCTCAATCTTTATGTTAACCTTTTTTAACCTTAATTCACTGCTTATTACAATTTTTCAGGGCAGGATATTATGTAAAATGCAACCACAATGATGCTGAGATATTTGAAAAACTCTGGGCCACTGTGGTAACGATCGAACCCGATATTACCCTTTTCGTGGGCTAGCGTGCTCATCACTACACCAAGCGGGTCTTTTGTTTCGCATCAATCTTTGGATAGTAGTATTTAGCACCAATGAGGACATTGGCAATGGGACAAAAAGTTGCGTCAAGGTTTGCCATTTCCTTTAAGCCCAAAGCTTTTACGTCTATCGTAGAAGCACCGTTAAACGATCTCCGGCCAACATTCTACAGTAGATGCATGGGTGATTGGTTTATAATCCGATTCATACAAAAGGAACTGGACAAATGTTTTGTATTATTGAAGGAGCAGTCATTGTACATAAAATTCACACCAGGAAAACCGAAAAAAACTGGCTTCCACTTTTAATAGTTCACGTTAACCTAGCCGAAGATGAATCCATCACCACGTAGTACAGAAAAAAGTGACAAGAACGTACTACCTTATCATTTCTCACCGCTCATACAAAAAGGAAGCTTGTGAAAAACGCGTTTTGAACAGTGGCCAGTGTGCTCACAGAAAGAAATCAGTAGGACGAATCCTTGAAACGGGAGCGGCAAATAGACATTTTGAATGGCTACGAAACTGTAGTTCCTCGGGATACGCGTAGAGGAAAGCCTCGGAAAGAAAAGCCAGAATCAGTAATTCTGACGATAATCAGGTTCCGTTTGTCCTACCCCTTATTTCTAACAAAATAATTGCAACTATAAAGCGTTGTTTAAAGAAAGGCCTGGCAAGGTAAATTTTGCAACAACAACAACTGAAATACCATCGAGCACTCTAAGACCCTAGCTAATTCTTCACCGCTCGTCTTATCGTCTAAGCATAACCCAAAATTGCATAATATGACTTAACGGTAAAAACGGTAACTGCCTCAGTTCGGGTGCGGTTTACGTGATATCTTGTGAACTGTCTGGGGACGAATACACTAGGGAAACGCATATAGCACTATGCCTCTGTGTAAAAGAACATCTAGTTGGCAAATTTAGAGTTAAACCAAGCACTCCACTAGGCACGCATACGACAGAGACATAACGAGAACATTTTAAACTAAAAGTCACTGTCATCTTACAGGAGTTCGAAACATCAGCGCGCTTAACTCCTGAGGTGTTTTGGACAGAAGCTAAAATTCCAAAAATGAACCGCAAGGAAGAGCACCCCATGATCAAGCACACATTCAAGACATACCTCAGGTCGATTCCTCTACCTGAGCTATGGACATTCCTCGCCCACGTAAGACTCTGTGCAGCTGGTCTTCACCAAATAACGGAAAGGATTACAAAGAAAAAACAGCATGTTTCTAAAAAACGCCGTTTATTATAAGCTAAGCATAAGCTCTCAGAGTTGATTAATCCTTGAGGGATGCGCCATCTATTTGACTTCATTAATTATCGTTGGAGGTGATTGAATGCATATTATCGAGCCAATGATGCTATCCTCTCAGACAAGTCTGTACAATTTACTGACCCTTGAGGGATGGAGCACTTGAAGGGCTATGGGCGCGGAGATCGATTCCACTTGTGTGTTGCAGGTCATCTCCGACCACTGCGCCACACGCGCCCTCCCGTTTATTATATGAATGAAAATTTGTGCATTAAATCTTGTTTTGAGAGCTTGCAAAAGTGTTTCGTCGAGCAAATTTTATGTTAATTTTGCCTTATCCTGCTCCGAAGAAGGCGAAACCCCCAGAGCCTCAGTTAATGTGTATTGATAGATACTGTAACAACAATCTCGTGTTTGCTCAGCAAGAAAAGCGATGAATATCTGTATAATCAAGCGAGTAAGCAAATAGGGAAGTGGAACAAATGAATGAGTGGATAACTATGTTTTCTCCTAAGTCCGACTTTCTATTAACCTCGGCATTGATTGAATAATTCTTTCTACTTCTGTTCAGCAAACACGAGGTGCTATTTTATTTCTTTATTTACGCACAAGCTGACGTTTCGGCGGATTTCGCCTTCCTCAGAGCCTGGAAGGGTCAAGTTGACAGCAATCCACTCGACCAAACACCTCAATAACCAAACAGAGAAAACGCTAAACCAAGATTTCAATCACATTTAGCATAGCTCTGCACACTCACCGCTTTCTATGAGTCTTCCACTGAGTATGTCGCGTGAAGACCGACCGCACAGAATTCACATGGAAGAGTAATGTGCCCCTCCCATCAGAATAACAGGTTTATATACTGTCCAATATCACGCCTGATAACGAGGCATTCCTCCCTGCGGTTCATTTTCGGATTCTTGGAATTAATCCAGAATGTCTCTAGAGTTTTGCATGAGGATCGTAACCCTTACTTCAAAATCTTCTCCGTTATGTCTCTGGGTCCTATGCGTGCCTAGCGGGGTATTTGGTCTATTTTTGCCGGCTAGGTGTTCTTTCATGCGGACACAGAGGGGTCTACCCGTTTCGCCAATGTATTCGTCACCACACGTCTTACAGGAGATCAGATAAACTATACCCGAGCTCATGCAATCACCGTCTCTACCGCTGGGGCAAATTATGCAATTTTGAGTTGCACATAGACGGTCATATAGGCGGTTACGAACTAGCTGGCGCTTAAGATTACTCGGTGGTATTTCAACTACGCTCACCGAATTCTCTAAGCCCGCCCTTCTTAAGCAGCGTTTTATAGCTGTACTTATATCATTTGAGATGAAGGGTAGGATAAACGGGACCCTTCTACCGCTAGAGTTGTCGTTTGGAGGCCTAGGATTTCCTCTACACCTATCCTGAGCTGCAGTTTCGTAGCCATTAGAAATGGCTATTTGCCGTGCCAAGTTCCGGGACTCCTCTCTCTGCTGTCTTCCTGTGTACACGCTGGTAGCTGTTCGAAACATGTTTCTCACAAGCGCCCTTTTCGTGTGAGAGGGGTGAGAGGAGAGGTAATGAACCAAGATGATTTTACTACTTGGCTTTCGATACCATTTCATAATGTAGCCGTTTTCTGATAGGTTAATTTGCACATTCAGAAATGGAAGCCAGTTTTCTTTTGGTTTCTCTCGGGTGAATTTAATAACCCTGACTGTCCGTTCAACAACTCGAAACATCTGTCAATTTCTTCTTGTGCTGAGCAAACCACCAAGCATTCATCCATATATCTACAGTAGAGTAACGGACCGAGGTCAATTACTGGCGCTTCCACCTTAGACATGAATGCAATGGCAAGGCTTGGTGCCAGTCGTTGTCCCATTGCCAGCCCTCTCATTTGTGCGTAATACCTCTCTGACCATCTGAAGATTGAGCAGTTTAGGCACTCCTTTAAGAGTGTCATTAACTCCTGAATCGAGAAACCGTACATGTTTATTGCTTCTTCGTGTCCTGTCGAGCTCGCCGATGGCTTGCATAGCGGAATCATTCGACACGTTTGTATAGAGGGCGGTGACGTCGAAAGACTCCACCACGTACGCGCTGTTGGGTCTTGCGTTACGTAGAACATCCAAAAACATTTAGGTGTTCGTTAGATGAGCTGGAGTGTACTTTAACAACTGAGTAAGTATTAGGGTTATTAACCACGTTATTCTATCCGTTGACCCGTCCACGCAGCTAATGATAATTCTAACCTTAAATAACGATGAATCGGTGGACACGAGATCATCGCTGGATAATAACTTATGGGTTTTGATAAGTAAGTACCGGACGGGACATGTTGGTAAGTCAGAGTTTTGACCACTATGTTTTCAATTTTTTACCACTATGTTTCTTTTCCACAAAATTTTCTTAAAATTACTTTAGTTATTTCTTTCTTCAATGAGCACCCAGAGAGATTTGTTACATTATATTGATAAGCATATAGAGAAGTGACCAAGCTAAAATTGTGATAAACTCTTGGGATGCTTTATGTTAATGTAGGTTAACATAAATAAGTCCTTCTTTTGCATGTTATGAAAAAAATCGGAACTATTAGATATTGCGTTTCGAATGAAGCACTTCATTTCTGGTTTTGGAGAGTTCCTACGAGGTCTAATTCGTCGACAAATTGGCGAGGAGTCAAATATACTCAAGACTAACAACTTATGTTCTGTCGGAGCAAATGTGAAGCATTTTTTGATGCAAAGACACTCGACTATCCTTTTTGCACTTCTCAATAGCTCGTTTTCAGCTTTTTGAGCAAATCAACGTGATAGAAACAGTTGACCTACATGCAAGGATACGCATGCACATCAACTAATGTCCGTATGAACATGTTTACATGCCAGAGACACAGTCAAACCAGCGCAGCAAAAGCAGGGTGTTCGACTTCGAAATCTAACTGGTTCTCAAAAAATCAATGCTTGTCTTTGGTCCACAGGTATACACCACCATATAAGGATAATGTAGCCTTGTGACATGCTCACGAATTTTTACACAACGGTGGGTCATGGATGAAATAATCACATGTAGATCATTAAAAACTTTGAATGGTGGTTACTGGAATATCGACCACACTGGAAAATTTTTGGTGCACGTACCTTTCAAGCTATGAGTATGTCTGACGTGGAACTGTGCTTTCACACGAGTTGCTTGATGAGGAGGTAGTCCACCAATGTATAAGTTTTGTTTGGTGTTGATTTCAAATTTTTCTATTTTTCCACCGTTTTCCACTGACTGTGCGGTGTTATTATCAATTGAAAGTGAACAATTCTTTCCTTGGACAATAATTTCAATTTTGTGAGGCAAGCCATCGTTCACTGAAAGCACTGGTTTTAACGAAGTACTTTTACAGATAAATGTAAAACAGTATGAAATGTGAAGTGTACCAGTTGGAAAGCTATACATGTGGCTTGCTGGATGGTTGCCAATGTAGAATACAACCTTTACTCTTCCATCATAGAGTTCAGCTGATAAAAAACTGTGATCTCCATAGTAAGCAATTACACCGCTTCTTAAGAAAAGTAAATAAGCTAGCGATATTATTAACTTATTGAGGAACATTCTGGTTTCTCGATAACTGCCACTAATCTTTTCGATAAGTAGAGTATTTGAAAACCAAATGACCTGTCAAAGTTACGGAAAAGATGTCATCGATTTAGGATAAGAGCGAGTTTTTGAAGACTTCTAAAAATTCGAAATTAAAAATTTTAACACTTGCGCGCTACATTAACGTTACATTCCGACACCAGTTCGCTTATAAAAATTTTGTTCACTCAGTTTTTTACTGCTGGAAATGCTCGACTTTCGCTCAAAAAAAACGACGAAAAGCGAAACGAGGAAGTAAAACTAAAAAACAAGCAAAGACAATTTTCTACTTCTAGAAAGCCTCTATATCATCGTCGCGAAAGAATAAGAGAACCGGTACCCTATTGGTAAAGATCTGCAGATTCTAATGAGTTTCATCATTAAAGCTTACTTATAGCTGAGATTCATTTCTCTATATTTAAAGTGGTTAAAGTCGTCTACAACAGATAAAGCTACCAGCGAGTATATCCAGCTTCCATTCTGAGATCAAAGGATGTAACCTACAGTTATCAATGGCCAAACCCAGTAAAATAAATGAGCCCCATTTCCCTGACTCCGAAAAAGCCTCTGATACTGAAATAAGAATCAACGAGTACGGCGATGCTGCTAAAATCAAAGGGTCATTCTTGGTAATATAAATTAGAAAAACTATGGTGACGATCCCGTCTTATAGTCCACGAAAAATAGCATTTGGATCCTTTATTGAGTAACTGGTGATGCATGCTGAGAACAACAACGGACGGAAAGAAAAAGGGGATTCCTCGGGATGCGGAACGCAAAGTGCTAAGACCACCCACCATCGGTCAAAATTAGAGTTCCTCGCAAAAAATTAGAAAGGCGATATGATACTCCACGACTCCCTAGTATTAGCAGAGCTGGACAACTTATCAACGCGACAGGGACAAAGCGAAACTCATTAGCGCCCGCTGAAGTCACTTGACCATGGACGGGTGCAAAAGTGATATAGGTGACAATGAGTTACATATGTTCCATAACGTCAGCTATGCGTTAAATTTATACTGAGAGGATTGAAACTTTTTACCACCTTTAAACTAACTCATATAAGAACACCAGCTGACTGTTATCGATCTGACCACGATATCGCCAAAGCTGTTTAGTGCCGTATTGCAGTGAATAATGAAGTCACTCGACTGAGATGAGAAAAACGTACTAATTGATGGGAAATCTTCCTATCGAATCCTCGTTTCACCATTTCACTAAATACATCGTCATATTTTTAAGAAGGGCTAGTGAAACAGAGGCGGTGCTAACTGAACTCAACATAGCGGGAAAAATATTGTATTGCGCATAAATGGGGCGAAGACCTAGTTCACGGAGAGCGCATGGTGCGAAGGCAAACGGTTGAAACTGGTTTGCCATCTGATTATAGAGGCCACTTCGTGCATGTACCTTGGACGATCAATTAACATGGAGAACAACAATATGAAGGACGAATTAGACAGGAGAAGGAGAGCAGAATGGAGCCGCATTCGTGTGTCTCAAAGAAGCCATTGACACATTAGCAGTTCCAGGACTCCAGCTCACCTTTTCAACTCGGTGATCTCCCAGCGCTCTTTTATGCTGGAGACACGTGTGCTGGTATTTCAATCGCGTAAAGAAGTCTGCGCCCACCTACAGAGCGCTCGAACGGTGTCTTCTGAAATTTAACCGGCACTTTCAAAGTCCAGTTAGAATGTGCAGATCAGACCTCTAAAACTTATTCCATCTCCAAGATTCAGTAGAACAAACATCGATAACGAAACATAGATGGGGCCGGTTACATATTGAAAAAAAGAGATGACAAGTGAATGAAAAGAACATTGGAGTAGACTCGAAAAGAATGAAAGCGTCTTCTTGCAAGACAAAGCAAACAATGAGCGAACGTCTTCGTCGCTAACATCAACCATCAGCTTTCGCAAATGGAAATGATTTTAAAAGTTCAGAAAGGGCGCCACAATGTTCGAAGCAGACCATCAACATGCACGACCATTGTGCGAGATAGAAACGAATGAAAATTATGTTGGGGTACATCCCATCGGTGAAAATACGACATTCAAGTGAGTATTTGAATTGACACTAAGTCCTATCAAGAAGTTAATTAGGCAACTTTCATCCTTATAATCAAATACGCTGTCATGAATGTCTCGATTGCTAACAGATGTGGTAGAACATATTCAACGTGGTCACGTAAGTAACTTTGCAACTAATGGTCTCGATTTTGCTTCGATAGTAGTCACTGCTTCTTTCCTCCCTATTCTCATTAGGCAACTGTTTTTTCGTGGGTGATGAACTACAAATTAACTCCAAGAAGCTAAAAGAGATGAGCATAAGGGAAGAAATGGAAGGGGATAAAATATAAGAAAAAACAGTTGCAAGGAAAGACGAAATAAGCGACCAACAATGTTTTAGTTTTTATTTTTTGCCAATTACAATTTTTGCGGCAGCGCATTATGCGAAATACAACCGCGACGACGCCGAGATATTTGCAAAAGTCCGGACCGCAGGTGTCTGCAGTGGAGAACCTTCGTTTCGCCAGTCTCTCTCACCGAAGAACGCGCATGGTGTTGTGGTGAACACGTCAGCCCCCTGAAAGGGTAATAGCGCGTTCGTTCCCCACTGCAGACACCTGCGGTCCGGAGTTTTGCAAATTAGAAAGGTTTTTAGGAAATAGAAAACAGAACAGCTATAAATGTAGGAACAAGCAGCTCTACTTTCCAATGCCGTTGGCATTATTTTGTTAACGAATACATAGTGGTAAAAAATTTTAAAAAAAGCTGTATGCTTACTTGTTTCTTGTTCGAATCGTGAAGGTGAGATTTCCACCTTCTACATCCCAGTGTTCAAGTGCAACGTATGCGGACTGATGAGCAAGTCCAATGGAATGTATCTGATCGCACCTTTCACCACTATAGCCTTCATAACATCGACATTCATATTCTTTCGTTTTCTCGTCGTTATAGCAAGACCCCTGCACTCTTTCATGAATCACTGTTTCGAAAGTGTTGAAGATGATGTGGAAACTTACATGACCACATAAAGAAGTATGACATTGAGCGGTGTTTGGATAAGCAACGTTAACACTGGGAGGAATATCGCAGAAATGCCCAGTGTATCCCATAACACATTTGCATGAATATGATGTAACACCGTCCTGAATACAGTATTCTAATTTTAGCGTGGTTGTATAGAAGGATCCTAACAAATCGTTGAATAAAATTCAATACAGGTGCCCACCACGCATATGCCATTGTTTCTACATTTATGATCCCTGCAATCATCGATATTCGTTGAACAGTTGTAACCCGTGAATCCTGGCAAACAGTCGCACCTGATAGTCGCTTTTAAGGTGAAAGAAGAGTCAACACAAACAAAACACCAAGAGTGGAACAACTTGCTTGTAGCCAAGCTCTGTTCTCTGGCATTTTGCGCCATTCTGGCATGGATTCAACTGCTTGCTGCAGTACTGCAATTTCTCTTCGCAGTATTTTCCTCCATACATAGGCGCGCATTCACACCGATAAGAGTTAACCTGAAACGCAATTACGTTGATTTAAGCCGACAGAATAACGAAATTTTTTCGAAATAACTTCTACAGACATCGAGTTCTGTTGCAGAATAGAATAAATACGTGTACCACCTTCTAATACAAGTGAAATAATTGGGAAAGAAACTAAGAACGATTTGGCCACTCAAGTTTTTTTCGTTGTTATTGAGTGCTGATGTTGGAGATTTGAACTACGACTGCACAAAATAGGTGCAAGATATACGATCTGGTTAAATACATTGGTGCCTACGAATATTCTTCTCAACAACGGAACTGGTCACTCGACTTTGCTTAAAAAATGTTAATAATTTAGCACGCTAGCAAACTAATTACACCAAAAGCAATTCTAGTTAAAGTTCACATATATCAATACCTCTATTGGCATCATAGGACTCGAGTGAGAGTTACTAAAGTGTGCAATTGTCAATCCCTTGGGCAATACTAAGCGACTAGATTCTGCTCGCTTTAGAGGCTCGAGAAGCACCATATTTTGTTTCATAGACTTTTGTGAAGAATTTAGGGCAGCCCGGCAGATTTTTCGCTGTGTATAACATTCCGTTAGACCTCACAACTAATAGCCTAAGCTGTCTCATTGAGCATGGATGAGGCATCGAGAACGAATACTTTCATGTACATCATTTCCTAGAGATTCAGTCCAAGAACAGTCTTTCTAAAGGTGCTGTCGAAATCGGCTAGCATTTGCTTGGCCTGTTGGGTTCGACAACGGGGGGAGAGTAAACCTGTCGGACATGGGTTTTCATCACTTTTGTTATTCCAGTTTTCGAATGACGTTTTCAAGAGCGGATGTCAGCAATTTTGTAAAATAGTCACGCCTTCTCGAACTGCATCACATACGTCAAATGATTATACTTACTTACTTGAATATTATGCTTGGACAGCCATTCTTCACACATTGTGTGGGCCTAAACACATTTTCCATTCGTTTCTTTCTGGCGCAATCGCTATTCATGGAGACAATACGAGCAAAGCATGGTGGCATCCGCGAGTCTCATGCCATGAAACACTTTTAATATTTGAGAAGGCAGCGTTCAAGAGCTCTATGGAATGTGCGAGTTTTTTCGAGTGGTTGAAGCAATAACCAGCGTCTCTGCTGCATAACAGAGAGCTGGAAAAACGCGGGAATGGGTGGCAACACTATGCAGCAGCTGATAGCGTAATAGGTCTCCATTTTCGTGAGATATAGTGGTTTTGCTCATTTTGCATCAGCTGCAAACATTGCACCATGGAAAAAGACCTGTGAAAAAAGTGGACAAATGTGATAACGAGCTCTGGCAGTTGGTTACTCAGACGAGTCGAATCCTGTCAGAAGCAGTTGTTCCACTGTTCTTCAGCACATGTCTGGCAGAACGGGCAGAAGTCTGCCCTTCCTGACTTGATATGGAGACGGACGCACATAGCCAGATGATATCGGAGTAAAAGCTGAGGATGATTTTCTCTATCGCCTTTTCGAATGCGCTGAGCATTCTTTGTAGCAGTTGAAGAGCAATTACCTTGTTAGTGTAAATGGCAAAGTCCCCGCGGATGTTGTGGATGTCTTCATAACTTCAATAAATGATGCTGCTCCTCTTCTTCCAAGATTTTGCGTCGTTCGCTTGCAGAGTTTTAAAAGTTAGACCGTGCACCTTTACGTTGCCGTATCAACTCGATAGCTATAGATACCTGCGAAATATTACCATAGCGATGATGGTATTCGCAAAGCTCTGGACCGCAGGTGTGTGTGGTGGAGACCGAGCGCGAGAACGCATTCTAACGCGCTCACCACCACACCATGCGGGTCTTTCGATTCGCTTGTCTGTCGACTAGTTTTCTATCGATCAGCGACGTCAGCAACTACTTGTCAACGGGATTGATCTGGGCAGTCGAAATCGGCATTGAACCCGTTTTAGCTCTAAAAACTCGTAGCTTGTCCTAAAAAAACGGCTTTCGTTTAACTTTGTCGTTGATAAATAAAACCTTAGTTTATCCATGTCCACAGGAGTTACTCATTGCAATCTGTGAGTTTTTGTAGGAGCATCATATCAAATTGAGTAGATCTGAACGCAGCGCAGATAAACGTACCATGTCAATGCATTGAGCTCCATTCTGGCATTTGTTCATTTCGCAATCGTCGATGTTCACTTCACAGTGGTCTCCTTTAAATCCCTTTGGACAAATGCACGTAAAGCGGCCCTCTTGAATCACCTGAACTTCACCGAACTTCTTTTTCTGATGAGCTTGACCCAATCAACACTTCATCACAGTCTTTATATAGAAGGGATTCTGTAAAGACGTTAAAAATAAAACCAGGCATAATATCCTATTATCTGGTGTTAAACGACTGCCACAGAACTTTGAGGTTAATTGGTATGCAAGATATTGCAAGAGTAATTTCAATTTAGTAATGCTTTTTTCCGATCATCTAAGCAACTACCAGAATATTTCAAACCTTTATGACTAGAAAAATTTTACTTCCACCAAACTATATCAAAAAGTGTTCCAGAAAAAGACAACAAGACGATTTCCAAATAACTGCAAAACGTGTTCTTAAATGGTGCTGTAATATTAAATCAAAAGACAGAGCTCAATCAGTGTTGTTGGCGTTTATTTGTTCAATATTATTCCCTACGATCAAAGTCAACATCGTTACATGCGAACAAGGTTTTCCTTTATTCATCTCCATTTCATCTGAGATTGAAATAGGGCGAAAATTCTTGCTCTTGTCACCATTTTGTCTTCGTCCCATGCTTTTTAAAGAATACGTTCTCCACTACATTGGTTTGTCGCTAAGTGTTAACGACTTTTCGATTACTAAGGTAGTCGAAAACTTGCTACACTTAAAAACGTCACTTATGGAAACCATTGGTTCTGATGGATGAAATTCTCCATATCAGCTCAATGAAAAGGAATGAAAAGAAAGGATCCACGAACTACAGAAAACTAAACTTATCATTATCAAAAAAGCCAAGCTTGCACGTTGTTGGCAAATATGTGGAATTTCTATCGTTTTTTATTCCAATCAAAAAGATTGGCTATGGGCTACGATATGTTCTTTTAACCACGAGAGATAAAATTAGTATTGCTCACGCAACCACGCATTACACACGACTAGTGTTGCCTCAAAGATGTGAACACATTTGTTTCAATCGCTGTGATAGGAACTGAAACACAAATGGTAAATAACTTGTACGCATAGGTATTAGGCCAGAGATTTACAAAACACTTGGAATAGTGGAAGAATTATGGATAGGGGAAGAATAAGAAGTGTATGCTGAAGTCGTTATTCACCTTACAGACAGCGTTGTTGAGACATGGATGTCCATAACAAGCATCCACTTTGTCTTCACAATGTTTTCCATGGTATCCGGAAGCGCAGTGGCATTGGTAGCTGCGACCACTTGTAATCTTGCATAGGGCACCATTTTTGCATGGTTCAGCAAAGCATTTGTTGCATTTCATGGAAATCCAATCAGGTGGTACTCCACTACACCTTAAAAAAGTGGAAATACCCATCGTAACAGTAGTGTGACAAAGTTATCAATCTGTAAACATAGGTGTTAGACTTACTGGAATTGATGAGAACGAGCAGTGAGGAGTAGCTGATTTGCCATAGTTGTAGGTGCTACGCAAAGTGCGATACCAGCTTCTACAAATTTTGTCTTAATCCACCGAGAGAACCATGACATCCGACAGTCACAATAAAGAGAGTTGCTGCCCATAGCTCTTAAAAAACACTTTTATGCCCGTGGGTAGATGGCAAAGCCACATTTGGGTATGGTGAGAAGAAAGAAACGCTTCACATACATGTGCGTGATGTTTCCAAGAGATTCAAACGCAGTTTCTGGTAACAGTGAAATGTCATTCCCATGTAAGGAAAGAATCCGAAGTGAATTTAAGCCTGCGAATGCACGTGGCTGAATGCACTAAAATTTCTTCCTTCGCTTACTAGTATACTTCTCCCAGAGAAATACTCTAGAGGTTACAGTCTATAGTGAAATAACTAGTGAACTCACACTGATTTTATTATATGAGAGAATAAGTGTTGATAATTTGGTTAGATTGACAAATGTATAGTCTTCAATAGACTCCACAATATTGTGTGACATATCTCTAAAGTCGTTGCAAGAGTGAGTTGGCGGAGCTTAAAACGCGACTAATAACAAGTTTATCCTTACAGTTTTACCAAGTTTGTAAGCCTGCTGATTTCCTCAGTCGAAATTTCGTCAATATTGTTCGAATCCAAGAACAATTCTGTGGTATCAACAGGAAGTGAAACTGGGAATGCTCTCAAATTCTAAACAGAACAAAGCTAATCATTTGCGGAAACCCATTTACAGCTAAGATAACCAGATTTTCACTGTGTCCTTAATCGATCTTAGATATTAGTTGCGCATCTGTAATCGATTTTCGAACCCTTTTCGAACATCGAACAATTGTGTCATGACAGCTACATCCCAATGGGCAGTAGTCCCCATTGTCAGCACAGATGCTTTCAGATACGTCTGAAAAATTAGAAATTTTCACACATACATTGCTTTGACCGAGTTTAAAAGAAACCTGAGCACTGCATGTCTTCCATTCTCAAATCCTGCACGTTTTCTCCTTTCAGTTTCAGCGGTCCTGTGCATTGACCTACTTCCACTGTTCGTGAGATGTTCTTTCTTATCCATTTGACTAGTGGCAAAATTTGGCAATTGCATAAAAAGTCGTTGCCGCTAATTTTTCTATAACAAACCGCTAGCACTCAAAAGTGTATGAAATCGGAGACAAGAGTTAACCCACAATGTTTGCAGATACTTAAATCGCTCGAATGTATTCGGAGTTATGCACTTTAGACGATTGTTGGATAATGATCTGAAAATTGAATGAAAAATAAAGGCTACTCACGACTGGCAGAATTGCATGGTAACGCTACAGTGTCATGAGGAAGAGTAACTCTGAAACATTGCCTGAGCAGTCTACTCCCTAGATATTTTTCGCTGGGATAAATCTGTACGAGAGAAAAAGACGATATTAACACAAAACGAGGATAAAAATAGTAGTAGGATAACATACTTTTGTCCCTCCTATGCTGTTTTGTAAGAAGTGTGAGAAAAAAGCCAGCTATTGATATAAACCCGAGAACAAAGATTTGTACGTGAAGATTATTGGACGCAGTAGATAAAACACGATACCTCTACGCTTTATTGTAATATAGAATACTTACAAGACCTCTATCACATTCGAACTGTTGAATACAGAGCTAGAAAAATGTCGCAGTTCGTTGTATGAGAAATCCCTTAAAAGGTTTTCTTAGTTAGACACTTCTAATACCAGATGAATTACTTGTTGACTAATTCATTGCTTTATAATATTAAACCACACCACATCTTATGGCGAGAAAGTGTACTGTGTATGAGGAAACAATTCATGAGGCTTTATACATTGTGAAGAGCTCACAGTGCTTTAAATTCTCCTTTCTGAGGCGAGAAAGCCTCAGAAAACATTGATTACTTTTGATCGATTTTTGCATACACTAACGAACAACAAAAGTGGTAAGCTTGCCCTAGGAAACAGTACTGTTGAGTTAGACCTAAAACACTCTATCGCAGGGTTGTTAAGCTTTCTTAGCATTAGTTTTACTAAGTTTTACTAAGATTATCGAGCACGGAAGGCTGTGAACACATGAGGGAGAAATGGTTCAATAAAAGTCCATGCTCAAATTATCGACGAGCAGGTTAGCAAACCTTATCAATATTATGATATAATGGTGACATCTGACTTCGGAACAATATCAATATCGACAAATAACAAATCTTAACCGAGACCGGAGATTTCATCATGCAAGGAGACTATTCTCACAGTGCCTTCAGCCCGATTGTGTACAGGTAGTCGGTTTGATAAAGCTTTACAATGAAAATTTAGCAATGATACTGGAAAACTGTGATTCCACTGGCGTGGGGCTAACGCCACACTTTGGGTGTACAAACGAACAGAACTGCTGCGACGTTACGGAATTAATAAAGCAAATTAGGCAAGATTCTATCCTCGGAAAATGAGAGCTTGTTAGGATCCCACAGGGGTCAACTACTGAACAACCGATGTTAGCATTTGCCTAACGGTTATTACTTTTACGGAAATGTGGTTTGCAGAACTTTGAAGCCCAGTCGCTTCTGTCAGCATGGAATCTTCACAAGATCAAGCTACAGCCATAGCAGTGAAACGCCTTCTGTTGAGAAAATATTCACCAGCTTCATACGCAGCTCTGTTCTCAATTGTCTAATAATTTTCAAAACTAAACACCACTAACTCCAATCAACTGAAGGCAGTCGCGGAAAACACTGCTAATTTATTGTGATCTGAGCTGTCAGTTAACGTGATAGTGAAATCTGATTTGCACACTATTAGCATGACTTGATGATTTTTTCTCCTCGATTAGAAATTTTCCAGGGGCCACCCCAGTAACATCGAGAGGCGTGAGCTCGAGAAATCACTGCTATTATTTTATTATATGACCCGAAATCAGAAATATGGCGCTATAGGGATTCCAGCACTCCATAAATTCGACTTGTTTCTTCGCATACGCCGTCCACTAGGGTCTTAGACTTTTGCGCGTGTGGCTCTAGCTTTAGCTGTTTCTCGAGTATTCCTGAACTCCTGGGGTAGTCGACCTAGGAAGTTCCCACATGGATTGCGGGAGTGGGCTTCTTCAGACAAGCCTCAGAACAACTTTCTGATCTTCGGAAAATGAGAGCTTGGTAGGATTCCACGATGGTCGAGCGAGGGCCTGGGCAGGTTATCAGTGCAACGAACGGGACCACAACCATTGTCCGCTACCCGTTCCATAGAATAGTTGGCAGAATTTTTCTAAAGGAAAGTTGTTATGCTAGACATCAAACAGGACTGTAGTTGAAACGTATGACCAATGTCATGTTTTGACGACTGTACGACGTTTACGCACACACGTGGAATTGATCCCCGCACCCATGGCCCACCAAACCTTCCATGCCTCCGGGGTCAGCAAGTTGATACCAGACCTGTCTGGGAGGATAGCAGCGCCGGTCCGATACATCCGGTAGGCCACCGCAAGTCATTGTAAAAGTCAGATATGCATTCAGTCACCTTCAAACGATGCTTAATAGAGTCGAATGCATGGCTCAACCCTCAGAGATTGATCAATACCGAGAGCTTCTATAAGCTTCTATGATATTTGCGTAAAAGCTGAATACCAATGGCCGTGACGCGTGAACCACCACCAAGACAACTAGACGTAGTTTTTCAAACTGTGCAAACAACTACTTTCGCCGAAACACAACTAAACGAGAAGCAATATGTATTCTTAGGCTAGTGGAAGGAGAAAAAACAATCAAGAAGGGCTAAATTCTGCATCTCTGAACGTGGTGTATTTAATGAAATGGTTTTTATTTAAGCAAAAATTTCATCACTTTTTATTGATTTCAACTATAGAAAGGCATATTTTTGTAATAATTTGGAAATTTACTGACAATTCTCGCAACGAGGGCATATTGGTCAAGCTACCATCGTCTACATTTGTGATCTTGTTCGAGGAAAGATCCCTGAAATCTAAAAGATATCTTAGTAGTAAAATAAGGCAATGATAAACCAGATATGATTAAAAAAACGCACAATTTGACCAGGTTTTGAAGCCTGTGGAGGCCACTTGAGGAGCTAATAGAAGTGATTTTATTATTGCTCAAGTTGAGCTCTGTTGCAAACTGTGGCACTTCATTGGGAACTTCTGTCAATCCTTTGTTACTAAAAATTCACACTTTACCTTGGAAAAAGTGAAAATGAATAGTTTAAAAGCATTAAAGAGAACAGACAACTGGGACATCAGGTGAACTTCAGCCAACGCTGCAATTGTTTTCTCGAGCAGCTACTAGACCTATTAAAGTGTTTTGTTGGGCTTTCATTTATTTCATAGAGCAATATAAGTGTGAAAATGTGGAAATCTTCCTCTGTGCTATGCTGATAGAATATCTGTTCAGTACTGAAGAACAATTGTAAGGAATAATACTACAGAATCATTTTCAATAGATGTTCCATCTTTTTATACTTTATAAATCTCTGCACTTTTTCCATAAGAATTGTTTCCTTGTATCGATCATCCATGAAGGTCTTCAAACTTTTGTTTGTTGGTTCGGCTCCGATTTGAGAATTCTGTTTGCATTATGAATGTCGTTGAGTGCTGCTCGACTTTTTTTTACTAAAACGTTTCCAAGCTTTTACCAAAGGAAAACGTTGATCTTTTGTTGATCGGATGGGTGAGGAGCATTGTAAAGTCCGGCAACAGTTTAATGATCTGGGAGAAATGGGATGCTTGACTGTGCATCGCGATGTCGAACCAGGACCATGCGGCTATTGCATGGTATCTTCAACCACAGCGCTTCTCACGTTCATGATATCACTAATATTGTTATTTGATGTTGTCAGCATTTCCACATTGGTTTTGAGCACGATGAATGAAATACCTGATAATATCACCTAGACGTACAAAAGTCTCTAACAAAGTAGTGCAGCTAAAAGACCTGATCCACAAAAGTTGAAAAGACAAGGAAAAAAAGATAGGAGATTTGTGTAACATTCATGCACTGCATTGCCTTGACCTGCAATCCACAATCTTGTCTTGGCAATCACACTGTAGTGGACAACCGGCATCGATAAAACACTGATCGGCCCGGTGTGTTTGGTAGACTTCCGAACCTAAAGTTTTATCACATTTTATTATAAAAATAGCTGGCAAGAAGGCAGCGAATACCTTTGCATCGAAATTTGTCACGGGGCAGGCTTGCAAAACGTTTTCTCGCTACCCGTCTTGGCGACTCACACCTCGCTCCACTTGTTTCGATGCCTTTAGCTTTCTGGAGTTCTGCCAGCCACTCCTTTAAGTGCTATCACCTCGATGAATTGCTTTCTGATAACTTTATTAGAGAATGGAAAATGGGCACGTACCATGTTGCAATCGCATATCAGAGGATTTTTGGCCAAATGTAACGTTTGCAGGTTCAGTAATTTATAGAATGTTGAATTGCTTATGGATTTGATTTGGTTATCGTAAAGAGATAATAGGTTGAGTTTTGTTAGTGGATCAAACGTTCCACTCCGTAAACATCGTAGTTGGTTTGCATTAAGAAGAAGAAGTTGAAGATTATTCAAGCCATAGAATGCTTGGATAGGCAAATCAGTAAGGTTATTACCGTAGAGTACTCTGAAAGCATATTAATCACCGTTTTTCTGGATTATTACATCATCATTATCACAGAAACAATAATTGTTTACAACCTACAGAGAGTTTAAGGACTGTAATCCATAAAATGCATACGGAGCCACTTCCACGATGTTATTTTTACTCAGATCACTGAATTACGCAAAGTGTAAGAGTGTTAAGCTTATATTCTGTAAAGTGATTGAACTAGTAGCAGCTTGTTTGTGCCTTATTCTATCACAAACATCAATAAACTTACAGCCGCTTCAATTTACGCAAGTTATGGAACGCTTTAGGTGGAATGATTGTGATTTGGTTCTGCTCCAGTCTTCTAAACAACTAGTTTTTTTTTAAGAGATTTACTATTGACACAATCTTATCTAGCTTTAACCTGATCCCTTACTAACAATTCGGTGGTAGAGCTGGGTAGGTTGGCTGGCACATGCGATAGGCCACGATCCCTGCAGTCAACTGTACTATCAGTGCACAGACACGCTGGAGGACAGATGTGGACATCAGCACAAGACACAGTATCACGCTTTTCGATCCCAGAGCATTTCATCAACTATTGTAAATATGATTAAAAAGGAATACGTTCGGGAGCAAAGATATTATATAGTGAATGACAAGAAGTGGTTTTCCTCAATGATTTACAATATCATTCATATATTTAGGAAGTATTTCTGAGGGTCAAACTTGCTGGTGTCGAAATTTATCTTCTATGGGGACACTTATGCCGAGAACGAGCTCGACGTTTCCGTTCAAAGGTTTGATTAAGATAAAGCAACACAAGAAAACGCTGTTATCCTACCGACGACATAGTTAACAGCAAATGAGTGGTGATAACATATGGAAGCCTTATCATGGATATTTAGACTCTAGCTCAAGAATACGTTGCCTAAACAGCGATTTACCATCCAAATTCAAACTACTCCGGAGTTGCCCGATTAGTTGTGATTTGTTAAGATGGGCAATTCAATACCCAAAAAGGTAACTAGTGATTTAGCACTGACCGATTCATCTAAATTGTCCATTGTCTTTCCATGAAGAAATGCAGGTCTCATGCACTTCACAAGACTTGTCTGCACGCTTTGTATCTGCTTCATCCATTTAATACGGCAATCACAATGCCAGGGATTTTCTCCGATGCGACTAAAAGATTGACTTAACTGTGGTTCATCATACAGTCGAGATGGCTTACAAGAGGCGAAGATTTGGTATAGTGCTAATTTCTCCAAGAGTAGTCAGATTGTTGCTATTTAGAGTGAGCACTTCCAAAGAAGTCCAGGTTGAAATCACGGATGTCTCCAGACTGTAATCAATCAGCTATCATTTTTATCATATCACACATGATTATTAAGATATTATGTTGCTATTCAATTACTCCAGGGTTAACAACTTGGTTAAAGGAGTTACAGTTAGTGAACTGTGTCCTTCGTGAAACGGGTGCAATTTTGAGGTCGATTGGACATCATATTTGATTTTGCGAGAAGGCGAAAAGCACCAACATAGTGAGATTGGTAAAAATCGCTGGGGATTCAACGGCTGAAAGTTTATCGATCGTTATGGTACAACTTGTTGACAAGGAAGTGAAAATAAACATGGGAAGAAACACTTCTCGTTAAAAATTTAGTCAACCTCTTTCACAAAAACGACCAATTGTTCACTTTTAGAAGAACGTCAATGTCTATTCAATGGCTACCACAAAAAAAACCGATACCAAGGCCCATGAACACAGGCAGTGAAGAATTTCTTAATTAGCAGGCTCTCGTAGTAAGATTCAGGGATTGTGGTAAAGGTAAACCAAATTTTCATCTAAATAACGAAATCTTCGCGCAAAAACCACATCGCTTGGAAAAGGCGCTGTGCCATTTAATACAAAAAATCATGTTGTTTAATGGGTCAAAAATAGAAAATGTCTTCAGATCGTTGAGCATATGTGGTACTACTGGCAAGTACGGAAGCAGAACTCTAAATTAGGCCCGTATATAATGCTGAGATATTTGCAAAACTCCGGACCGCAGGTGTATGCGGTGGGGAACGAACGCGCGCTGTTGTCCTTATATTTCGCAACATACCTTGCCATTAAAAAGAAAAAGGCAGTAAATAAAAGTGTTAAGATTGCGATTATAACTAAGCCTCGGCTTAACTGGGTTCGATGCCGATTTGGGCTCCCCAGATCAATCCCGTTGACGGGTGATTGTTGATGGCAAAAAGATCGATAGAACTAGCTGAGAGACAGGCAAAACGAAGGACCCGGATGGTGTGGTGGTGAAGTGCCCTACTCCCCGGTAAGGACAATAGGGCCCGTTCGCTCCCCACTGCATACACCTGTGGTCCGGAGTTTTGCAAATATCCAAGCATTATATACGAGTTATATTTCGCAACATACCCTGCCATTAAAAAGAAAAAGGCAGTAAATAGAAGCGTTAAGATTCAAAATTAGGGGCTCACTCAAAAACGGGAATACAAGCACTTTTAGGTGGTTGCAAAAGTTCTCCACGCTTGAATTCATTTAGAAAAGAAATAAGTGAAATTGTGGAAACTGGTTTGATTTACTCTCTATTTTCTTTTGGGGCTATTATGCAACGGTTAGAAGTGTTCTATTAGTCATATGTTAGATCAAAGCTCAGATAAATCGAGACCTCATTCCTTCAAGAATTTTCTTCTACAGTCCAAAACTGTGCCTTACTTATCTTGGAAAATTTAAAGAACACTGACGTGGTATATTGGTATACTACGGTGTGTTACTGTATATTTCAAATATGCGTTTAATCATCTCTACTATTTTTCACCCTTTTACGACCATGCACATTGATTTCAATACGCACGCAGTTGTACGTTTTGAACCATGCATTTTGATTACAGTGCGGATCTCAATTGCTGTTCGATGACACATGGTCCGATAGGGATGCTGCGCGAAAATGGCAGCGGTCTTCAAAGAGGTGTAATTTTTGTATTGCAATATTACTTAGTAGCAGCCGAAGCCACATGTGAAAGTTGGAAGACCTTTGTGGATGATGGATACGACGAAACGAATCGATTGTGAGAAGTGCTGGGATCCTCACAGAGAAGGTGTGAAGACAGGCCGTACAAAGCAAAATAAAGCAAATAAATAAGAAAAATATTTAGTGCTGAGGACTGAACAAAATTTCTTGCTTTTCACTAGTAGAAACAAGTTAAAGAACAGGAAAAAAAATGTGAGGGAATCGAAAAATAGAACGACAATTCCTCGTGCCTCTCGCGTGGACTCACGGGAAGCATACCTTGATTTCAATGCACATTCCGATCACGCTTCAATGAGACGCGGTTCGATCAGCTTAACACGCGAAAATGCCCACGATGTAAAATTCTTAATGGAATCGAATGCGTGGCGTATCCTTAAGAGATTTACCAAAGAGGAACACCATATCTAATATTTGAACAGAGTTCAGTGACCAGTTCTAATGTTGCGCTAATAACGTTTGGAGTTTTGCTTGTGCTAACTGGCCGGCTGGCGTTATTTTCCACAGATTCATTACACTTCGAAGTTTCCTTCATTTGCACCTTTCCACTGCTGAACAGACGAAAATAGGCAATACTCACCAAACAAGAGAGTTTCGATCCAGTTTCAAATTGTGCATATTCCTCGGACCTTGCAATTGAATATCAGTGATAGATGTCAAGAAGTTTTCGCTAAGATCCCTAAAAATAGTGGTTGTTGTTCACCCAAACACTCATACAACTTATTTTGATGAAGAGCTCGTCAACCGTACTGATTAAACTAATGTTTGCAACAAAACTGAAAAGTTGGTTAGGCTCAGAAAGTTTTCACCATAGATTGCACTAAAAAAGTTGTTAATTACCGTAATAAATGTTAGGCTGCCTCAATTTTCCCCACTCATTACAAAGACACCAAAAAATTGCTCCCATAAATTAGCCTCATTAACTTGAGAAACCTTTCAAAATGGTTTCTAGTGGCGCGTATACCGCAGAAATCGGAGGCGCCCTGCAACAAACGTGGAATCGATGCCACGCCCATGACCCACCAAGCCTTCCATACCTCCGGGGTCGGAAAATTGGTACCAGACTTGTCTGGGAGGATAGCAGCACTTGCTCGATACGTCGGTAGGCCACCACGAGTCATTGCAAAGGCCAGATATGCATTCATTCACCTCCAACGATGCTTAGTGAAGTCGAGTGCATGGCGCACCTCTTAGGGATTGATCAACGCCGTGAGCTTTTGAAGTATCCACATATATGTTAAATTGTAAAGTGACATTTTTTTCCTAAACGATAATAGTAACACCACACTTTGCTGTCAGAAGCACATACTTGCTTTTTTCGAATGAGCAATAAAGAAAAAGATGAATCTATGTATGTGTGCATAGAGAAGCAGAAAAAGATATTCACTTTGCTTGATCCTTCGTAGAGATTGCAAAGTGATACCCTATGTATAAACCTGCTTTATCTGCCGCTTGCAGGCAACGCCGACAATTCTTTGTTTCCATTCATTTAATTCGCCTAAGACAATTGTGGTTTTTACCCGTATATTAACGAGTGCCACGGATTTCCTCACAGAAGGATCACATAGGGTTAGTTTCGAAACATCGTGGGAGCCTTCTGATAGCGAATATAAAGTTAGACACTGACGGGAAGCGTTTTTTATTTCCATGACGGACAGATAGATTAAGGAAATGTAATCCCCGCTTCCACTGCGTCAATTTGGTATATACTTTACATGTTTACGGTGACGTATTCATGTATGCTTCTGTGGGTGACCTCTCGTCGATGTTGATCGCATTCTACGACTCAAGTCGGCCAAAAAAAGCTTGCAATCATGTGACTGGGAAGTATATGGGGGGCGGTTAGGAGTCGCCTCCAACAAATAAGCTCCAAGTCTACTCTGAGAGAGATTGGCAAACTACATGTTAGTGCACTCAGCACCCACGTTCAGAGCTCGGCAAGCTGCACGTGGGTATCAAAAGACAAACAGTAGAATAAACGGGCCTCATTACCTTGATCACGAAGGAGCTCCTGATTCTGCAAAGTTGGATAGAGCGAGTACGGAAAAGCTGCTAAAATTTCAGGGCCATTCTCACGGATTCTAAGCTGCCTAAATCGCAAAAGACTAATGTGACGATCTATACTTAAAATGAATGGAGCCATGGCTCTGAGTCCTCAATTGAGGACTTGATCGCGCAGGCAAGAAAGATAAGATGCGACGTTTTCGGACTGGCCGTGAAAATGAAAGTCGAAACATTTTATTTGAGTTTGTCCTTCAGAGAAAACCATACATACTTCAAGGTCGTCACTGAAAACTTTGCGCTAAGACTGACCTAGAAGAGCGTCTGAGGAACGTCACATCAGGACCCACGGATTAGTATGGCACGAACAGGGTGAGGAGCTGTCTGGGTTTATCGCGACGACCAAGACCATTGATGGTAACTCGAAATTCCAGGGGCATCACTCTCAACGCTGGACGTGGGAGTCTTCCAGTGAAGAGTACTAAAACGATATAGAACACATCATAGAAGGTAAGGTTTAGCCTAGTCAATGTCGCTGTTGTACCAAAATCTTGCACGAGGTCATACAATCGCCTCCTTCGTGTAAGATTTCATTTTTCAAAAAAAGGAGAAAAACCGCTAAAAAACGAGGTCCCAGGCTACCATGAACTGGGATTTACTCAGTTCATTAACCGGTTGTTGAATTTTGTAAAGCTGCCGTTCTCGATAATAACAACGAGGAAAACGATCGCCTCGTTCAACATCTTCGCCTAAGCACGTTGAAGACTAAGAGCGCGAAAGTCACCAAGAACGGCCTATCGCCAGAAACGCTTGAGATGATACGCCAGCGTGGAACCACATAAGTTCGGCTATAGGCAACCGCGAGCTCAGGTCCGTATTCGTGAATTAATGCAGATAGGCCATAAAAAAAGATCTTAAAAAGGAAGAACAGCAGCTATAGTGGAAGATGCAAAAGCCAGAAGCAACATTCGTTTAGCCCAACGAAGGCGATTGCACTCCGTTGCCGAGATGCAACAATTACCTCTCAGAAGAAGACAGTGGAGAAAGCCATCCACTGTTACTCCTCGAACCTCTTCAACAACCATATCATTTCGTCCTCAACTTATTTAAAAAAGGATGGATATGTCATCTCATCGGATGTCTCTTCCCAATAACCCTATGCTGCTCTACGGGTTCAGAATCAAGGAACATTTGGCCTACACCAGGATGAGACCTCAACAGCTGAGTAACCTTCCGTCTGCCCTCATCAACACACTAGCTCGGCTCCTCACACGTTACCTTTATGATTGCAGGGCTCCTATACAGTGTAAGATGAGCAAGGCCATGTTGTTGTTGAAGAAGGATAACCTCTACAATAAAATTTTGCCCAATGCCTTTTCCCCAAACTGTTTACTGCCTATCGTCTATAAGCTCTTCACTCGAACCGTCCTAGTTGGCAGAACACTGGTCATACACAGTCATGTGAGCAAACATGCTTTCTAAAAGGATTCAGTACGATGGACCACATCCACACGAAAACACGATACGTTGAAATATCGTGAGATTATAAAAGATCGCGTTCTCTCAAATTCATCGATTCGAAGGAGGCTTTCGACTGAGTTGACATCGCAGCATTTATGGAAGCCCTAGACGTTGATCTGTCTAGACGTCACAACAAACATATAACTATTCTTTAGCGATGTTAACATTAACGTCAAAAAAATAGTTAGGGATGGCAATACCACCTTGCCGATTTTTCTGCCGCCAGCCTCGGAAACGTCATGCGAACACTGGAATGGAACAACACGAGAGTGGTTATCAATAATTGGCAAATACACCATCCTCGCTTTGCTGATGACATCGTTCTTGTATCGTCAGGCATTAGTCAGGTGGAGCGAGCGCGCGCCGACTTTGATTACACTTGTGGAAAGATTGGTCTTCGATAAAGTCTCTGACCATTAAGAACTGTTTGGTTTCGTAGGTCCATTTGCGCTTAACTAATATAGCGGAATGCTCTAGGTACGTCTGTCTACGTCGGGATTCCAACATGACGATCGACTTGGTCTGAGAGCCTACTAGGAGGACTCGAGTGGCTTGAGGA